AAGAATAATTACTATATATTCCTTCTTTCTCATAGTAAGTTATGGTTTAAGAGAAAACATTGTTTCAAATTATATTATAATTCAATTTTCAATAGAAAATTAATTAATCTTTTATTGTTTTTAACTATTTGTTTGTGCAAATTTTTTTATCATTGGTTGAGTTGTATTTATAATAGTGGTTAAAATTTTGTTTTGATCTATTTTTAAATATTATGCATAGATTAATAACTCTATAAATTAATAAACGGCTATAGTTCAGTTTTCACTTTGATCATTTTTCTAGATTTTAATCTATTGTATGCAACGATTGAGTAGTTAATGGAGTTAAATAAAGCAAACTGAATATACTTTTTCTTCTTTTTTTTTGTTAAAGAATATACTTTTTCTTCTTAACTCCAAATAATGGACAAGCAATACAAATACTTGTTTTCCATAAGAAATTGAAAATTAGTGCAATCATAGACTTTTGACCCCAAAAAAAAAAAGTTCAATCATAGACAATCCACCGCGTTATCTACCCAACAATTTGGCTTGTCGTTTAATTTCTAGAGTAGTCAAAATAAAATAAAATCAGATTTTGATCTACGCCAATCGTGAGATTAAATAATTCATATGTTTTTAATCAAATTTAGACGTGTATTCTAACATTGTAAACGTATAAAAATAATATGTATTGTGCATAAATGTCATAAAATATATTTATGCTTGTTAGTTTTAATTTTTCCCATCTATTAGAAATAATCATAAATTTTTGCTTTTGAATATTATAATTCCGTGTTTGACTCGGACAAAAAAAAATATAGTAGTTATTGATAATACAATAAGATATTTTCAAATATTTTCTATTTTCTTTAAATGAAATTCTCTATATTAATTACCACATATTTNTTATTTCAATATATTTGTCATTAATAATTTTTTTTAAGAAATAAGGTCTTTAAATTCTTTTTTAGATGGCATATAGGATATTTCACCTAGTGTATCATCTATTAATATACAGAGGATATGCTATATACTACAAACAAAAAGCCAATAATGAAGGTCCATCGAGATCCCTACAAATTTTATTTTTTTAAAAGACCATTGACTAATTACAACTATTTTTCATTAATCATGTAGTTGATCAAGAAGAAATACTATTATAAACGTATAGCCATTGAAAGACTTGTCTAGCATTGCTAAACTAAAACCATAAAACTTATTCTCCCAATATTTTAGCGAAATGGATCTCGCACCAAGATGTCGTCTCTCCGATCCGTCTCATCCTCACACTCTTTGCCGTCGAGACAATCCTCCTTCGTCGTATTGCTTTACGTGCGGACCGGAAGGTGAGGCTTTTTACGACCGCCATTGGCACTACTACTGTGAAATCTGTAAGCTCGTGTTCCACAAAGACTGTCACCTGGTTGCGCAAGGTATGAGACATCCTTATCATCTCCATCACCCTCTTGTCTTCACCATTCGATTTTCCGAAACCGAAATCCAATCAATAAACAAAAATCTAAGTGAAATCCAACATTTACTCTGGGATGCACTCATGCTTGAGAATGTTGTTTTTGAATCCAACAATGCTTGTGATTGGTGTGGAAAGGATCTCGGAGAGTTTTTTTTTCGCTGTCCTGTTTGTAGTTTCAGTTTGGACCGTTCTTGTATCTTGAAAGATCTCCCTTTAACTATCCCAAATCCAAAGAGCCATCAACATCCTCTCACCTTCTTTCCTAGACCACTTTTAGTAGCTTGTAGTGCTTGTGGATTGGACGACAAGGAGGATCCGGGTTATGCTTGTCTTCAATGCAACTATTTTGTCCACAAAAGTTGTATTGATCTCCCACGGATCATAAAGCTAACACGTCATCCACACCGTCTCTCTTTAACTTCTTATCTTCCACCAGCTGCGAAACGGTCATGTGGAGTTTGTCATAGAAACATTGACGTCAAGCATGGTCTATATTCTTGTAATAAGGATTGTTCTTATGCAGTTCACTCAAAATGTGCAACTCATAAGGATATATGGGATGGAAAAGAACTTGACGGAGTACCCGAAGAACCTATTGGAGATTTTGCACCGTTCGAGGAAGTGGGTGACAATTTAATTAATCATTTCAGTCACAAACATCATCTTAGGTTCAAAGGGGATGGACTTGATCATGATGCATACAAGCAATGCCAAGCTTGTTGTAGACCTATTGGTTATGATGGTTTCTACGGTTGTATCTTGCACTGCGATTTCTTTCTCCACGTGTTATGTGCTAATCTTCCTAAAAAGAAAGATCATCCGGTACATAAGCACCCACTTATTCTAAAACCTTGGAACGATTATGGAACCTATTGTGCAACTTGTAGAAGAGAGTTCAATGGTTTCAGCTACTCATGCTCCAGCGATTGTGATACTGCTAATTTCAAAATAGACGTTGGATGCGCTTTAGTTTGTGAACCCTTTGAACATAGTGGTCATCCTCATCCCTTGTTAATCTATTCTCACCAAGATGTCTTAACTATTTGTGGGGTTTGCGCAAAAGAGTGCTACTACGTCACTCTAGAGTGTGATGATTGCAAATTCGTTATGTGCTTTACATGCGCCACTATACCCGTTGTGGTTCGTTACAAGCACGATGCACATCCCCTAACCCTTTGTGTCGGTGAAGATTCTAGTGGTCCATACTGGTGCGAGATATGTGAGAGAAAAATAGATCCAAAAAAATGGTACTACACATGCAATGAATGTTGCACAACTCTCCACGTCGAGTGTCAGTTTGGGCCTTTCATGAATCTGAAGACTGGTCGTGACTTTGGTAATATAGAGTATGAGATTAAAATCGCTTCCAACAATGGTAACACTCGACCAATATGTGATGAATGTGGTGATCGCTGTCGTTATACCGGTTTTTTCAAGGGAAAATATATGTGTATTTGTTCTCTCAAGTGTTTTTCAAAACTTCTTGCCTCTCGTACACACTACAAAAGTATCAAACCTCGCATGCAGTTGAAGAGCTAGCATGCAGTTTATTTGTATTTAGTGTCTTTTGTATTTGTTGGACTTGTATCAAAACTCAAAAGCCATTTCTAATTTATAATAAATATGCTGATTTCTTATTTTTTGGAAATATAAATACATTAGATATATATACTTCATCTAACTTTTTTTTAAGCAGCAATTAGTTACATAGATCTGTAAAATTAAGTAGCTATATAGTAAACACTAAAGTTTTTTAATATGGAAAACTTATATGGATATGCAAAATTATTGTAGGTAAAATTACCTTATAGTGGTGTCGTAGATTAAGATTTCACCATGTTAGTTGAACATCAAGTTTGAATCATTTTGGGAAAATTGCTGTAAATAACCCACAAATTCATTTATATGTGAAACCTAAAC